TAACGACCCACAAGCCCAACCTTTTGTAAGTGGTAATAAAAACCTTTAAGAACCACCGACAAAGACCGACAACTGAGTGTTTAAACAGGATCCCGAAAGACCTTTTCACACCTTCCACCAGAAATACGTTAATCTGTACCTGCTGCTTTAACTTGGCCTGGGGGAGAGGGCGTGGTCATCCCTTAGGCTAGGAATATTCAGCCAATCAGAGAAGACTACCAAAAGAGAGGGGGATGAAGAAAGGTGGGAAATAGAGGACTAGGACTAAGACACTTCCTTTTGGGACTCAGGAGGAGAGGACTTCCTTTTGGGACTCAGAGGAGGAGACTTCTCTTTTGGGGACTCAGCTGAGGAGACTTCAAGCGGGGGAGTCGAGGGAGGAAGACGAAGACAGCCGGAGAGAGCAGATGGACGGACTAGACGCTGAAGGAGAGCAGAGACAGGGAATCCAGATATGACGGCTAGAAACACTATGAAGGACCAGCTAAGTGGTAACAAGCATTTAGTTATACTAATGTAAATTTGTGTTGGCAACCATACATCATTAATTAATATAATCAATATAATCAATATAACACATGTAACTTTAATCAAACATCAAGCATTCTCCTCCAGTATGATTCTCAACTATTCATTATGTATATAGATTTAGTTATTATTTTGTATATAGATGTTTTTGGTTTTATTTAAGCTTGTAAATATAATAGTTAGTAAACCAATGTAGTACTTTTACCATCTACCTTGCATGCCACCAGTTAGTAATAGAACAAATAGGAAATTTAAAAACATGATACCTTTAGAAAGGAAATCCAATAAAAATTATATGGTTCAATCTAGGATACTATAGTAGGGGGTCTGTGGTATCTTACCTTTAAATACCTAATTAATATATTTTTCTTTAGATCGGTTCTCTTCTGGAACCGATATGAATACAAATATAACTATTAAATACAAATAAATGCGGTTCCTGGAACCCCTTACTCGCCGTAGAAACGCGAGGCCAGGAACATAGCATTATTGATGTTTCTTTTACACGTTATATATAATTCAGTTTTATAAAAATGTTGACAGATATTACAATGTCTTTTGAAATTCTTTCTTATGTTCTATATAAATTTATTATTTTGAAGAAATTAAAAACTTTTATAATTCATAAAACTTTATTGCACTTTTTGTCTTCTTTTTGTCTTCTTTTTTACATCTGATGATGTTTCGGACTACTTCACCCATTTTCAAATCTTAAAAACATTTCTTAGGATCGTCTAAAAATAATTTAAAATTCATTCAAATGTTTAAAAAAAGGATAGACAGCGACACTGACATGTTGAATCATGTGGGGACAACGCATTCGACAGGTAACCATGGTCAAATTGTGGCATGCGGCAAAGAGATATATATTTTTTTTTTTATTGTCGCTTTGTGTTCCTTCTATGGAAAGACTATGTAGCTTGCGTCAATGCCGAATGCTACATGTTGCCTCAGTGAAATTCTGCCTTAACAATTTCCTGCTCATATTTTTATAAACCAATTGACCCAAAAAAGGCAGTTATAAACTACTGTGATCGAATTCTCCAAACCTCTTAATGGTTCTAAAATCAAGATTTCAAGTCTTGTTGAAACTTCAATTGACTTGTTGAACTACTGCCTCATGCATGATTTTAAGGAACTTACATGAAGCTGAGCACTCTATCGAGATTTTGTTATGATAGTATCAAGAATGCTTCTAGAGATAAAACATTCCTGTCCAAGTATAAACCGTAAATCAACAAAGACTCAATAGAGCTGCAAGAAATACCGCAATATGGAGAAGAACAATTAAGGCAACAAAAGATTTACAGGGTCTGTAGTGCCAAGAAGAGGAAATAAAATAGGAAAACATAAAATTATTATCATTAGATTTTTAAGGGAATGTAATTTTTCTATATAAATTTATTATTTTGAGAAAATAAAAATCCTCTATTCTTCATGTGACAACGTTTTGGACCTTTTCCATCATTATCAAGTCTTAGAAACATTTCTTAGGATCGTCTAAAAATAATTTAAAATTTATTCAAATGTTTAAAAAAAAGTAGTACAAAAACTAGTACAAAGGAGAGGATGTTTTTTTTTTTAAACATTTGAATGAATTTTAAATTATTTTTAGACGATCCTAAGAAATGTTTCTAAGACTTGATAATGATGGAAAAGGTCCAAAACGTTGTCACATGAAGAATAGAGGATTTTTATTTTCTCAAAATAATAAATTTATATAGAAAAATTACATTCCCTTAAAAATCTAATGATAATAATTTTATGTTTTCCTATTTTGTTTCCTCTTCTTGGCACTACAGACCCTGTAAATCTTTTGTTGCCTTAATTGTTCTTCTCCATATTGCGGTATTTCTTGCAGCTCTATTGAGTCTTTGTTGATTTACGGTTTATACTTGGACAGGAATGTTTTATCTCTAGAAGCATTCTTGATACTATCATAACAAAATCTCGATAGAGTGCTCAGCTTCATGTAAGTTCCTTAAAATCATGCATGAGGCAGTAGTTCAACAAGTCAATTGAAGTTTCAACAAGACTTGAAATCTTGATTTTAGAACCATTAAGAGGTTTGGAGAATTCGATCACAGTAGTTTATAACTGCCTTTTTTGGGTCAATTGGTTTATAAAAATATGAGCAGGAAATTGTTAAGGCAGAATTCCACTGAGGCAACATGTAGCATTCGGCATTGACGCAAGCTACATAGTCTTTCCATAGAAGGAACACAAAGCGACAATAAAAAAAAAAAAATATATCTCTTTGCCGCATGCCACAATTTGACCATGGTTACCTGTCGAATGCGTTGTCCCCACATGATTCAACATGTCAGTGTCGCTGTCTATCCAACAGGCCTCGGATCGGAGCGGCTTGTTACGGGCAACATGGAGTGGACAGACGAAGAAACTACGTATTTTATTGATGATTCTTTCGAATTATGTTATAATAAAATCGCACAATACAAAGTTATAAGAATTAAAAACGATAAGTCGAAAAAAATTATCAGATAAATATAATTATTGTACGGTGATGCAGGTAAAAATAGTTGGTTTATTTATTAATCATTAATTTATTTAAACAGGAAAATATAATTGTACGGCGAGGTAAAACATAATTAAGAATTTTTCAGCATTTCATCGCGAGCGCAAAAAACTTCAGCAAGAAAGAACTGCTCACCTCCTAGCAAAAACGGGAAATGGTTTGCTTATGAGCTACTGAATTTTTTATTGGACGTCAATGTAGCCTAATCAGTATTGTCAACTGCTGAGTTCTTAGGTGATGACACGAAATACACTTCCTAGCAACCGAAATAGTCCGAGAGCACATGAGAAAAAATCTATGTCTCAGCCAATATCTACAAGTTAAAAAAATAAAAACTTTTCTCACATTTTTCACAATGAATTTGTCGTTTCGATCCTCAAGCTACTGGCCCAATATTCATTAAATCAGTCTCCATTTTTACAGTTAGTAAGATGCGACTGGCAAACTCTCATTTTTTAAACAAAGATGTTATAAATATTCAAAAAAAGCTTTTAAAATTTTCATCATTGGTGTGAATGTGTTGATATATCACCATATTAATGTCCACATGACAGATTATTATTTTTCTGAATAAATAAATTTTAAAAAATTTCATCAGATAATGTCGATTTTTTCTGACAGACTTTCGGACTAAAATGAATTTTTCACTACTCTTCAAGCGCAAAATATTAAATTATACTGAATTTCTCCTTATACTTACCGAAGTGTTTTTCTTTTCCTTTTATGATTCAAAGCGATTACCAAATATGCAGTTGCTGCAACTGTTTGTAATGACATGATGTACCAAACTGAAGTTGCCTGAATGGAATCGTTCGAATTGGATTTTGTGCCACATAGTGGGACAACTACTGTAGACAACACTAAGAAACAAATATCAAGCAACATGTCATTCAGTGTTGCCTCAGTAGAATTCCGCCTTTACCTTCAATGGTTGTCAATTGAGAACTTGTCTCATTCTTAAAAAAATATATGAAGGCAATGTCTTTTTATATAAATCATTTCAATTCTGAACTAAATTAATTTTATAAGTTGTATTAAATTATGTGAAGAATCGATGGTATCACTTGACTAAATGCTATAAAAATGATACAAATATATGAGCCTTTAAGTTCACAGAATGACTAACTCCAATTTCAACATTTTTGAGTAAAGTTATTTTAGTGATATTTCTAGTTGGAGAATTTATAATATCTGCACAAACAGTGAGTAAATTCATACAAGAGTAGGTGATTGCAGTGTTGAAATATAGATCTGTAAATAAAGATATAAAAATGTTAGAGTTAGTCATTCTGTCAACTGAAAGGCTCATATATTTCTTCAATTCCCTTTTTACTTTCACTTACCTATATTTATTGTTTAGATCCATTGGTATCAAGGAATAAAAGCTGTCGGTCCATAAATTTGAAGTACTAGAGTCTAGTACAACACATTATAGTAACTAGACTAATTCAGCATAGAATTGGATTTTTTATGATGAATTTGAAGTGGTTTTTTGGGGGGGGCTCAGAGTAATTAAGGATTTTTTATCTTATTATTTTAAATTATTCTAATTTTGATACTTACATAAGGAAGTTATTTTTTCTATCTTAAACAATTCAATGGGACTTCTAGGATCTGAGATCTGAACAGTTGGGAACGTTGGGTTCAACATTTAAAACTTATTTTTTCTAATTTTCAAGTTATTTAATCAAATTATTAAATAATGTTAAATGGAATATAGTTTAGTAGTTTATTAGGATTTTTTTTATTATGTAATTATATAACAGATGGCAATACCATTAGGACAGCTTTTGACACTTTCTCAAAAAACGATTCATAAGAATGCACTTTGATTATTTAATTGAAATTAACAAATTATAAAAATTAAATTTAGGAATATGATAACAGTGATTATTTTAAGTATTAGTAATGGAAGTTTATAGAAAAATAAATGCCATTGCATAAAATATTACTTTTATTAAAAATACACCTTTTATGGTGTCAATCTCTTAGGATCTCTGGGGAACATTGATGTTTTTCTAATATTATCCAAACCTAGATAAAGCATCACTACCCTCTCTAAGCCAATACCACCTCCTGCATGAGGAGGGCATCCGTACAGAAAAGATTCGATATACGATTTGATTTTTTCTACATCTGAAAAAATATAATATTTAAAAATATTACAGAAATGATTAAAGTAAAAGTAACAACATTGTAAGTACTTTTATAATATACCAATTCCATGATGTTTGGCACGCTCAGTAAGCAACTCGGGGTCATGTATCCTCTGAGCCCCAGATAATATTTCTTCTCCTCTCATAAACATATCGTATGAATTAGAATATTTCTAAAAATAAAAAATAAAAATCATATCTACTGTGGTAAAAAAATAAGTTAAAATACAATCAACTTCACACTTACAGGATTATGAGGGTCAGGCATTGTGTAGAATGGGCGAATAGCCAGTGGAAATTTATCAAGGATATAAAAATCAGTGTCATACTAAACAAAAGAAGAATTATATTAAGAAAGAATAAGACCAATATAAGAATAAAAAATGTATACAAACAAAAGAATAATAAGATCAATATAAAAATGAAATATTTCATTATTATAGTAGATCTAGGATGAATTTGTGGGTGAGTAGAGGAGAAAGATACGCAGTCATTTTTCATGCGCAGTGGTATAAACATTTCTTCACCCATCCCTCACTCTTCAAAATCCCCAGTCCTGTCTACTCATTCCTACATACTTCTACAATTTTTTTTATAATTAGAAATTTCTTTATTAATTTTTGTATCATTTCTTTAACCAATTTTCGTTTATTATATCAAATAAACTAGGTAGAGGTAAAACTATCCACCCTCAGACCAAAAACGTAATTATGAATGAATATAAATTCCTAATCGGGTTTTGGAGATGTGGAACGTGAGTGGGGGAAGGCTACTTGAGCTCCCTTCCTCTACACACAAATTCATATTAGATCCACTACACTAAAAATTAGATTAACTTTCGGTGGAAGCCATTTTTAAACCTTAACTAAAATGCATTTTTGACAATTGAGCTAGTTAAAATGGAGGTGCCTTGGATCCAGTTTGAAATGTGAGTTTTTTAGATATCAATCTCATATTCATTTTTGGTTAAGACTTCTCTTGAAGTCATTACTGCTCAACACCAATATCATTGATACAAATGCAAACTATTGAATCTGAAAATCATCACTCGGATATCATTATCAACTCAGCATAAACAACGAGGATGTCTTAATTTTCACACTAATATGTGCTTTTATGAATGTTCAAAAATTTTGTATCCGCCCTTTAGAAATATTTAATTACAATAGCTAGAGTGCGATTATGACTAGAGGATTTAAAAATTTTCATATCTGATAGTTAGGATTTGTATCGACAATATCACTACTTTAAAAAATAAATTTCAACAAGGTTACCAAATTGGAAATAATTTTTTTTTCTTGTTCTCCTCTTCCTTGCCTTTTAAGCTACACCGGTTTGAGCTTGTATTTATTTTTTCCATATCTAACTTCCGTTATTAGGTTGCCGGGCAACGTGCGGTGTTGGGCACAAGTGTTAGCCCACTCGGCCACCCTGCCCTCATGTTAATTTATTTTTAAACCTATTCGATAAAGGTTAATTCATTTATTATTTATTTAGAAAATACAGTGAAACTTCTCTGTAACGGACTTCTTCCTCTGCTGACATTTTTTCATTTCAGTCCAGTTGCAAATGGTTTTTATTGCATTTTCAACTAGTCTAATGATTTACTATGTTGCTAAGTTAAATATCATTGATGATAGTCCATCTCTCTGTTCCAAACCAGTTCGAATTTTTAAGGCTTTAGATATTTGTATTAAGACTTAACATTTAGGATCATTTGTCCACAATTTTGTCTATTTTACCAACTTCCGGGAATTCCCAGTTCAGTCATGATCAATCAAAGACAGTTTCTGTCCAGGGAATCATATGCTGTTATACATTTATTAACATAAATAATCGTAAGAAAATGAAAAATTGTATGCTGTACCTCAATATGGCATGCATAACAATATTTACACCTTAATGAAGAGGAGTTGGTTGGAGTGAGCGATCAAAAGTAAAAAATAAATAAATTATATTTTATTTTTTAGAAGAAGCTAGTCGGGGGTGCAGTCCAAAAATACTATATCATATAATAGTGTGTTTATTGCATCGTCCAACATTTCGACCTATGTTGTAGGTCTTCTTCAGGCAGTACGACGACTGGCTGTCTGATGTCGGTCAGATAACGACGGAATGGCCTCAAGACAGCATAGGTCGAAATGCTGGAAAATGCAGTAAATATATTATTATATAATATGAGAAGGAGTTAATCGGGGGGTGCGGTCAAATAAATACTAAATTAAAATATAGTAATTATTTAATAATTACTATATTTTAATTTAGTATTTAATAATTACTATATTTTAATTTAGTATTTATTTGACCGCACCCCCCCCCCCCGATTAACTCCTCATATCATATCAACGGTCAACCATCTCTACATCATTATTATATAATATAGTATTTTTTTACTAACTTCTTCTGTAATTAGAACCTACAGTCAACCATCTCCATACCATTATACATTGTATTTTATTTTTGCCGGTGTTTCAGCCCAAGGTTCAGGACTTCATCAGGCTCACTTTCTTTTAACATATTAAGAAATTGCTATGTTTTAGGAATTGATTTTGAAGAGAGTTTCTAATGTTATCTTAACCACCCAAAAGGGATGACATTTAATAATGCTGTGTTATAAGGGGAACATTATTTGGAATGCCACTGGATAATTATTGGCAATGATTACCCAGAAATATTTAATAAAATAAATTTGAATCTATAATATATACCACCCCCTAAAGGGGCCAGGTAGGACCAGTTCATAGCAATTCTGAGAAAAGATCCTCAGGTGTCCTTAAGTACTACTCCACCTTGACAGACCTATGTCACTGTTAAGAAGTGTTTGATATCAGCTTTCTTTTAAGAGACCATTTTTCCCTTTTGTCATTTCTGTTAGTGGCACCTAATATTGAGTTTAAAATCTTATTTTCTCTATTTGGTACATAACAAAATCAACTTTTAGCAACTACGTCATCCCATTTTTTTTTATGTCTAACACTTATCTTTTTTACCTCTTAATATTCCATTACATTTCCTTAATTAATTTTTCATTTCTTTGTTTATTTTATTATGTTGATACCATTATATTATTTCATAAATTCCGAACTCTGTAACCAGTATTATTTTATTTCATGAGTTGCTAACTATGTAACCATTATTATTTATTTAATAGTTCCTAAATCTGTTACCCTTATTATTTATTTCATAAGTTCCTAACCTTATTTACCATTATGTTATATATCCTAACTTTGTTTTACATATTATTATGTTTCTACCCTATTGAGTGTATTGTTATCTTGTCTTTTCTTGAACCTGAACCTTATGCCAAAATGTCGGCAAAAATAAATATAATTTAATTATTTTTACTTATGAAGCGCACCTCAACCAACTTGTCTTCATTATAAACACGGCAGTCAACTATTAATTCACTATTACTTATACCTTAGCTCTAACAAGACGACCCAAAAGTTTTTCTTGTGGAGTTGACAAATCATCTTCATCACCAACTTCTTCCCCAGCCTCTCTTAACATAGAGATCCCGACGCTGTAATCTAGACAGAGAGGGGGGTCAAGGAACTTGAATGGCTCAAATCCGTATTGCTGCTTGACAGCTTCAAGTTCACTTGTCCTAAAAAAGATGTGTTTTAATTTTTGCTCAGTCAGAAAATCAGGCGTTATTCATTAAAAGTACAACCAACCTTTTCCTGAGGGCTTTGAAAATTTCAAGAAAAACATTTCCAATTGTCTGCATGACTTCATGATAATGATACTTAAAAGCCATCTCCAGATCAAGACCAACAAATTCAGTCAAGTGACGATGTGTGTTACTGTCTTCAGCACGAAAAACTAAACAAGGAAATAAATAAAAGCTCATCCATTATAAAAAAAAAAATTTTAATTCACAGGTCTCCATATGTTTTGTTTTTTTAATTAATATTACCTGCACCAACAGTAAAAACTTTTTCAAAATCACCAGCAATAGCCATTTGTTTATACAGTTGAGGACTCTGAGCTAAATAAGCATTCCCTTTAAAATAGGAAACGGTAAAGACATTAGCACCGCCTTCACTAGCTGCATTTATTATCTTAGGGGTGTGTATTTCAATAAAGCCCTGAACAATTAGAAAATATATAATTAGTGTTATATGATATAGTTTATATTATATTTACAAGAAGAAGATAAATAATAAATCAGATAAGGATACAATTAATAACTACATAAAACATAAATTATAATAATAAATAGAAGTTATGGAGAATTTATTAATCATTAGCTGTATTTATTATCTTGGGAGTATGTATTTTAATAAATTTTTAAACAATTTCAAAATACATGAATTACTAAAATTTAAATTAATAACAGAAGAAATCTAACAAATGGCATTTCAGCAATCTAATAACTTCATACTGGTTCTTAATACCAGTAACGCAGCTGAGTATGAGGCGCTGGGATCTCCTAGAGTCCTGCCTTTCCTTCCGTGGGGGAAAGACTTGGCTCGGAGATTTGGAGCGAAGGAATTTGTAAATATTGTATAAAAGCATGTGTGTATTTAAGTACTTATTTTGATTAGCTTAGTTTCTATAAATTTATTAGGTGTACTTGGCCACGTGTTACTGTGGCTCAGTCTGGTTGAAAAGAAAAGGAAAGCAGATGCTTCTAATATATTTTATTTCAGAATAATTGTGGATATACAATACTTTTTGTTGTTTCATTCTTCGTATAGATATAGAGATTGTCTAGTTTTCCAACTCTAAAACACGCAACATATAATTGTCCATGTGAGAAGTAATTCGACTCTAAATCTCCAAAGAAAAAGCACTAAATCTTTAAAACATATCTGCACCCGATATTCTGATTGTGATGATATATTTTTTTTAATTTGCAGAGAATTCAGAAAGCTTTAAAATAATCATGGGTGTAATCAATAAATAATTTTGTACTTTTTGAGTTATTCGCAAATATAGTTCTGAATCCACTGTAACTTTTTTTCCATACTCTTTTCGGGGAAGCATGTTTTATACATATACATTCCGTTTCATTAACCGTGGGGCAACCCTGGGATAGCGAGACCCTCCTGGGGCACACTACAAAGTGGGTACCTTTAATTAAATAATTGATTAAGGAGGAAAACCTGGCGGTTGAGCGTGATCCTGGCCCAATCCCCTCCTTGCACAACCGTTGGCCTTGAAACAGTACTTTCTCTAAATTGTACTGAACCCAAGACCCTTCATGGGTTGTAGTGGCACAGGTATGTTTTATACATAACTTAAAAAGGCTTCAAGGAGAAGACTTTATCCAAGTTTAATTAAAATCGTTACAGCCATTTAGGCGCTATAGTGTATAGTGACACAGGTTTTTCAGCCACCTTTCCGAAACAAAACGGGATGGTAAACGGGATTCCCAAAAACTGGGAATTAAATGTACATAAAATACTCCTGAATATGATAGAAACCTTATTTCAAAGCAAACAGTGAAGAAGTTTTGGAGATTAGCGATTTTGAACGAACAAACATTTAAATTTTTATTTATATAGATAGATGATGGGTCGCCATGGAAACCGATTGAGTCAATCGGTTTACCTGCTTTTCACTATATAACTCATAACACCTCATGATTTTCTCCTAATTCAATGTTCCTATGACCGTTGGAAAGCTGAGTTATTGCTCTTAAAAACCATATAAAAAATTTTTATATTTAATGCCCTCATAAGGAATAAATAAAGAAAAACTCCGAACACATTTTTATTTTTTATCTCCAAGCCAAATTTATTTATGGGTCTCTGGTTTTTGTCATTTTGTGTATATTATAGAGTCCTAAATGCATGCTCATAGGTCCACTACCCTCTTGGTGTTAGTACCCCATTTTAATATATAATTTTAAACTAAATAAACTAAATATGATAATAAACTAAATAAACTAAATATGATGATACAGTACACTTAATAATTCTAATGCCGAACAGTACATTAAATATCATATTTATCGTTTTTGCATGAATGTTAGAAACTATAAAAATAATCCAAATAGAAAATAAAAAGATTAGAAGTTTAAACATATATCGACTGCCACACTGCAAAAGCCTGTAAGAACCAAAACTATAAATTTTCAGGAGATGAAAAAAACTGCATAACTTTTGTTTTATAAGCATTATATTTTCGGTTCAATTTTTTTTGCAGGCCTAAGACAAAGATGTAATGTCCAATGTAACTTTTTTTATCGTGTTTCTGTCAAATAATCTTTTAGAGCCATTACTTCTAACTTATATATAGCTTATAAGTTATTTTGAAAAACAGGTATTAGGTAAAAGCAATCAACTTGATTGTAGTAACACCCATAACTTTGTTAATAATGATCAAAGCATGACAAGAAAAAAATCAGTGTCCAAAATGTTGGATAACTATAGTTCAAATGAAAATTTGACTAGAAAGCGAGTTTTCGATCACATGGAATTAACGCCACAGCGTTAATTTATTTTATTTTTATTTTCAACACTATTTGGTTAATTGTTATTTTGGTACGTCCATATCTACGACCGTCACCTGCTTGCGACCATGTAAAGTTGTTCAATTTTTATTGTTTGTTTTCGTTTATTTTTGTATAATTCCTACATTAGGGTTAATATATATTTGTTAATTTTTCCATAACCAAACATCCAACTATTTTATTAGATATTTCATAATTATTATTAACATTGTATTCAGCTTATCGTTATTTTCATTTTAGAAATTATTACTTTATTTTATCTATTGATACCAGTGTAAAATTGATTTCATTTTATTTTTTATGTTTTCATTATTAGTAGGTGTAAATGTTTCAAAATACAGCCCACTTTCTTTTAAATTACGATCAACTTAATTTGAATAGTAGTTAGGCTTCATTCGAATTTGATTTAAACTAAGAGGGAGCTTAACACATGGGTTATTCATTTTGTTTGTCTTCCACTGCAGAGTCGGCTCGAACGGAGTGAATGTGCTTCATTTTGGAGTTGTCTATGAAATTCATTTTTAACTTTATAAAGTATTTAACTTCATATAGACATGATTTCAACATGTGTGCACAGCACCGCCGTTGCCCGGCAACCTGATCTATGAGACAATGGATTTAAAAGTCACGAATTCGAGTCCCAGTGCCGGGGATTTCTTTTAGATCCTCGCCCACACTCCCTGGCCCAGGAAAACCCTGCATAGCCTTAAAGGCGAGGAAGGGGAGGAGACACACAAAAAAAAATATACATATATTTATATGTATAGACATGGTTTGAATCATGAATGCTTGGTAAGTTTCAGGAAATCTGCTGATGTGTAGATCACTTCGTTTCTGAGCTTCTTGTGATTTCGAAGATTCATTTCAAGATTCAAAGAGTTCTTTTTTCATCTCATGTTAAATTTTCAAATCAATTCTCTGTCTCTGACTATCTGCAATTCAGCCAAGCTCATTTTGCAATATTCAGGGGTTTCGATTGTTTTGAAGACCGTTTAATATTATATTCCCACATACCACTCTCTTTTCTACCTTGTTTAGTTCCATGGTAAGCAGTGCTGGCCTCAGAGCAAGGGAACACGGGCATTTTCCATAGGCGTCAGGGTGGAAGTTTCTGCCACTTATTAGAAATTTAAAAAAATAATACAAAGCGTGTAAGAAAGATTAATCTTAGCTTATTAATAAAACTAATTGATACTGCAGTCTATGCACAAAACACTTTATACAATCTGTAGTAACATGACCACCTTTCATTACGTTTGTTTTGTTAATGACTCAATCTTTATAACCTCCACTGTAACTTACAGTTTTTTTAATTACAATTTACTGGTTTTAAGTTACAGGTTTTTACAAAAGACCTAAGAGAAGAAATGAAATCTAGATTTGATTTTGTGGGATTAGAATATGCGCCAGGATAAGATTGACCAGAAAACCTCAAAACTTCATTTTCCATGGAAATTGTCCTTACAGGTTTTTGCAGTGTGGCTGTCGATATGATATTATTAAAAGTTCTCTCTACAATATAAAATCTGAAATTAAAATGTAATTACTTGGTTAGAAAGGGCTTCTCTGAAGAGGTGGCAAACGTAAGATTCTAATCTAAATATTGCTTGATTTGCTGGGGTCCTCAGATCTAACACTCTGTTGTCTAATCTGGTATCTTGGTTCACACGGATATTCAAACCTTCCTAAAAATCCTTTTTAATTTAATAAATGTATAAATAAAATGTTTATTTAAAGATATATATCATTAAATAACCTACATCTTCATCAGTAACTGGTCGAGAAGCGTCTTCGACAAGTAATGGCAACTGTGGTTTAGCACGACTCACTTCCCAAATTTGAATTATATTCAACTCCACATCTTTTTGTGAACAACTATCGATCCGCTGAGGTGTTAAGGATACAATTGCACAGATATCCAATAGAGACTCCTTCGAGATACTAAGCATTTTAAAATTTCCTAATTATTTACCATTAAAATGAGATAAATTATCATGGAGAATGAATAAAGACTTACTTTGATGCAAATTTCACCATTGCCTTGCTTGTTTTCTCAGATACAGCTAAAATCCCTTGAACTGTAAATTCTTGTTGTCGTAAAACTACAAAACACTGCTTACCTACAAATTAATTCATCTATAAGTTCAAAACAAATTTTAATAGTAAACAAATTAACAGAATAACTTATTTTAAATTAAGTATGAATAATACAAAATAATAATCAATCCCATTGCTGCTCCAACTTTGCCCATACACCAAAATTAAAAAACAAAAGTAGTCAAAGTTTTTTTTATATTTGAACGTTTCAGAGATGTTTTTTTTACCTTCTTTGGCATTAAATGTGTCTCAGTATTTTTGGTTCTGTCTACGTTGGACCAAAGACTGATGGACTAGTAAGATGACATACTAGTTATTAGCCATAGACTATGTGGACACCACAATAGTTCAAACTGTGAAGGTAATTTAAATAGAAATTGTAGCATTTATAACGTTTGTAAATTTATTATGGATTTTTTTTTTTTATACTGTATTTGGACATAAGATGATATTTTCCAGAAATAAATGTTTTGGTACTATTAACAAATATTGCTCTACTTTGTTGGGTGAGCATAAGATCTCATGATTTCGATAAATGGAATTCCAGGAATGGCCGAGTGAATCCAAAAGTTTATTGAGAAGACAAAACCACTTGTTAGGCCCCCAATCTCAAATGAAAGAGATCTGTTTATTCCTTTTGAGTGAGCGAAAGTCAACAGCAATGTAATTTAAGGTAGGAGTCTATGGAAGTTGTAAATCATGATGTAAAAAAAATAAATGTCATATCACTGAACATATTGTTAATACTCCACTATTCTTGGAATTCAATTTATAGCGTCATCATGAGATATTTCCACCGATCAGAGTGGAGTAGCACTTGTAAAGTCGTTCCTTTATTTTAATACTAATTTTGAATCATACTAAAATCAGAAATTAAATTAACTTCGGTGAGTAGCTTATACATACAAAATTTGAATTGATGTGTTAATTTTGTCTTGAAGCCAAAACATTTTTTTTTTAAATAGAAACAAAATTTACCTTTAGCTCGAGATGTGTGTAATCTAGCTCGAACCCATACAGTGGAACCAACAATTCCTTTCTGTAAACACTTAACATGAGTAAAAACGCGTTTTCTGCGTTCACTTGTTGCATCATCTTCACTCTGAATAAGATTAAACCTTCCATAACAGCCTGCAGATATGTCTTCTTCAGGTTCAGCATTCTCCTGATGGCAAAATCAAAAAACAATAATAATAACTACAAACACCACTTACAGTTACACAAATAATCAACATTGAGAATCTGACAGTTGTTTGTTTTTTTTCATCTTTCCTGGCAGCTTTCAATGCATCCTTTGCTAACTTCTTTTGCTGTTTTTTTGAAATATTAGCGCTTCTGTAAATAAATAAAAAAAGTGAATAATGAGCATAAAAATTAGAGCATACGATTTTTATCATTGAACACTTCAGGTAAAATACCCATGTTATAGTGACAAAACAATTCTTTAAAACTTACTCTTGATTTTCATTTTTGTTAACTTCCTGAGCTTCAATAACCATATTGTAATATTAAGTAATTATATGAAGTTTTCCTACAATCTTATCTCTACCTACTTCAAACAATCACAATGGTTCGATGGTAAGAAGGTTATAGAGCACATTTCGCCTTTAATAAAAAAATTTATCAGCAGAAAATGAGTCGTTACTATCGATTATTAATACCAAATCAGTATTTTGAGAGATGGTGTCTCGTTACTTAAGGAAGGAAATAAGGTAATCGAATAATTTAATTCTGGCACGTGTAATGACTTACTTTAGTAATAAAATATATTTAATTAGCCATATTTCTTTTCAAATACTTATGCTGTCGTAACATTGTAATTTATTTTTTCGTATTTAAGATTTATAACTTCCAAACTAGACTATGTCTAGTATCCTTGAAAAATAGATAACTAGAGTATCAGTGAGGTAATAAATTCTTGAATCAAGGGATTGCTTGCTGTCATTACCGGCATTTATTAATTATTCTAATATTAATTACAATTATATTTTATTTTTTTATATTCCTACCTAAAATCTTTAATAATCTATTCTATTAAGTCTAGAGGCATTTAAAATAAGAACTTCAGTGCAAGTTCACCCACCTCGAGTCAAAAATAATTTGTGATATAATTACTTATATTTAACTGAAATAACTCATTTTTTCCCTAACTGTATAATTTCTCTATAATTGTTAATAAAATTTTAACATATAATTTAATTAAAATGTATACAAACTAAAAATAGTTTAGCGCCACACTAAAAATTTTCAATCCATATAAGGGATTAAACTATTTGTAAGTAGAAAACTAATATTAAATATCTGAGCCGGAACTAGCAATTTTTTGTTGGAGGGAGTAGATATAATTTTGTCGCTCCTCCATTCACGCTTCACCAGTAAAACTCAACAGTTGTATAACAGTATTTTAGGTAAAACTTAATTGTTTTATATTAATTAATAATTGAATTCTATTTCATTCAATATGTCTTTAATTCGGTTGCTTTATTAATAGGCTGAAATTAATTGTTCTCATACACTTTGTAAATTTTGTTATTATTCCTAACAAATGGCGGGCGCCCAATGCCCTAAGGCTGTCATTCGTCAAAATAACAAAAAAGTAGAAACAAATATATGTTTACATGATAAAATAATATTTTGTTCGAAATTTGTCGTCCTCTAAAACCAACCACTCATGACCAAAAAAGCTAAACAAACAAAAAATTAAAATTAATTATAAATCATAATAATTTATAGCGGTTTTCCTATTGAATTCCAAATATAAAGGACGCATAGTAATAAAATGCATAATATCATTTCTGGAAACACCAAACTTAGAGTAATATCTTAACAATTTGTCATATTACTCATCAGAAAGAGGTAAATGATTAAAAATATTATGAGTAAAGTAATCGTTGCACGGGTTAATGATTCAAAAGTAATCAATTGTTTTCTTCACCTTCCGTGATAAACAGTAATAATAATCATATCACCAATTATATTATTTGGATTTTAATTTACATTTCTTTACCTTATACTTTCGGATGTAAAAGCTATTAAACCAATTCCATTTCAAAGTTCATCAGTTATTATAGATTCTATAATTATAATTATAAAATTCAATTAAACGCTGCAAATTCTTACACAATACTTTATTATTTACAAGGATTTTTATATCAAATATAATGACAGTACTTGCCTAATCACTTCAAAGAAAATAAATAAGAAGTATTAGCTAATATCGGCATGCTTATGAACATAAAAGATGAAAATTTATCTCGGAAAAAAAACTATTCTGATTGATGTTCTAATTTCAGAAATACCCATAATTATTGTTGTCCAAATGCGAGACCAAGATGAGTCTTGGTCTTGCGCAAGTCTCGCAACAGTTTTGCAGTTTATTACTATTTGCAGGTTATTACTATAGAGACATTAATGTAATTTTTTATATAGGAGAAACCTTACTAAGTCCGAATGAAAGATTAGAAGATTTAAATGCAAAAGTATATTGGTTATACCAATTCTTTACATAAAATAACTAAAACTGTCAAGTATTAGTAACTATTTTGCCCTAATTTTTATTTAAAAAATCGTTTTTTTTTATTAGTCTTGGTCTTGCAACAGTTAGGCGGTATTGGTCTTGCAAAGTGGAAGACCAAGTCCGATTTTGGGCAACACTAGCCATAATCGAGAAAATGAAAATCCCAATGCCACATAAACTGCATCAATACCACTTTAAAGTAACAAGTCACTATTGAAAATTAACATTTCTAAATAAAAAACATTAAAAATAAAACCCTACAGTTGCTAGATTTTTTTTCACGTAAACGTGAATATCAGGATTAAACGCATTTAGTTAGATATTTAATACCAAAATGATCAATTTCTACAATATAGGTATCTGTGTTATAAACAACAGCTCATTAGCACCTTCGATAATATATTTTTATAAAAATAGTATTTTTTAATATAATTCTTAATTAATAAAAAAGTTTATTTTCATAATTAATTTACTATAAAATAGAAGATTAATACAATTAAAAGTAGGAATTAAAACATGGCAACAATTTCTCGGTTGTTATATTATGCTGAAAATAAAATAAAACAACCTTAAATAAAATTATATATTATTAAAACTAATTAAACTAGGACGTATTTATAAAAGGTGGGGTATCTGTAATCCAGTTATAGGATGATAAAAAACATCGTGAACAAATCATAATTTAATGAAAAATACAACTTAGCGTAGTTTGGGCCGCTCTAATGTTCCCTTTAAATGATTTTGACAAAGACAAACTCTACTTGTATTTGAAGGAAATTTTGTCTAGTTTATCATGAAGCAATATTTAATTACCTGAATTAAGTCATTTTCGTGTTATAGCTTCCTATGAAAGAAAAACCGTGACCACCTTAAGAAAAGAGAAATCGGACTTAACTCCGTCAACGTTGGAAATCGGCCCAAATACATCAAATGATTTTTTTATTTGAAATTTTGTACAGAAATATCTTCCAGAGTTTGACGATTAAGAACTGAGATATCCTGTATATAATTTAAAAAATAGTTATAAGGAAATTAAATAAAATACTATTTAATTACATAACATAGAAGATAACCTATAGAATCTTCATTTATATAGACGTAATTGACACATACAGGGTGTCTATTACGTCTTTACATTTATCTTAAACTTCAAGAAATATCACGTGCTATCATTACCAACAATACTGGCTCCACGTCTCTTTCTTACCTCTATAACTCTAAAATGTGATACAAGTAGACAAAAAAAAAATATAAATTCAATTATTATAAATATTATTTCAAATTAAAAAAAAAATAAAACTAAATTTACATTTTCGAACCTAATAGACTATAATTGTATTTATTATTATGTTGCTATCCAAGCATAACATTTTACAAGAAAATTTAAATTTCAGTTAAAATCACCTGATCATTATATAAGCCTCGCAAGTTGCAAAAAAAATGTCTTTGCGGCTCGAACTATTTGTTCGCATTTTAGCTTAAAACACACCTATAATTATCGGTTGTACTCGAGGGGAGGGGAAGGAGGACGGGGCAATCAGATTACCAATCAGAATGATTTTTTCAAAAGATAAATTTTCATCGCATCGGACTTGGAAAAAGTTGATCACAATTTTGGTCGAAAATTTGTATTAAATTTCCAGAGTTCTGGTTGAGTGTTGAGTGTTCCTAAGGCCCCCTTGAGAGCTTTAAAAAATACTATAGTGAACCATGGCCCCAAAGTTGATCGAAAAAAAGATATAAGCATCGAAAGTTGCAAAAGAATATTTTCGAAACTTTGAAGTTCGACAACTTTTTTGTTTCGCATCCTAGCTTAAAAGACCTACAATTATCTATTTTAATTGCTGAGGTGGCAATTAGAACACCAATCAAAATCATTTTTCCGAGATAAATGTTCACCTCTTGGACGTCGATCACAATTTTGGCCAAAATCTATTTTGGATTTCAAGAGTTCTGTTGGATGTTTCCATGGCCCCTCTAGGAGTTATAAAAATTAATGTATTGAGTAATGGTTCTAATGTTTCCAGAAAAAAATATATGGGCTTTGCAAGTTGCACAAATCGTGATTTAGTTTTTCGTAACTTTATCTGGTATTTTCAATGATTTAAACAACAGAAATATTGTTTAAAATATTAGGGAACTCTAGAACTATTAGGGGGCTATCAGAACTTTAAAAAGAATTTGAAATTTTTTTATTGGGGGACCCACTTTTTTGGGGGGGAGGGAAGTTTTTTAGAGAAATCAATTCTTCTTTTTTTTTAAGAGTTTCGATAGCCCCCAAGAAATTTTAACAATTTCTCAATAAACTTTAGCTCTAAAATTAATATTAAAAGAGTTATAAGACTCGTAAATTGCATAAAACGGGATTTTAGTTGTTCGTAACTTTGTGTTGTATTCTCGGTGGCTTAAACTATAGAAATATTTTTTTTAAATATTAGAGAACTCTAGAACTATTAGGGGGACTATCAGATCTCTAAAAATAGTTTAGAAATTTTCACTTTGGGGGGGCAAGGATAAAAAAATGGACATGGCGCTGTTTACCTCCTGAGTACAGATATATTTAAAGTTTTTGTTAAAAAATATAGACAATAATCACGATTTCTTCAGTTGAAGTTAAGTTTCCAGTAATAAAAAATTAAAACAAATGAGATCGGCTTTGCAACAGACTTCAGGAGGGGATAGGAGTATTCATTTTCAATCTGGATAATAATTTTTCTTTTTTTCTTCACTTTCCTATCATCATATTCTTCCAAATTTCATATTTAACCATTTTTTATATTTACCGTCAATGGAAGTGAGTTGATTTTCTTAAGTAAACTATATTAAAGGTACTTTAGAGGAAAACGTATATGAATATTGGGCATTTAAGTCCTGTAAAGTGACATCAATAGAGATCAGACTTAATTGATATTAATACCACTTAATTATACAATGCTACACCGAATTTAATCAAAATCGTAAGATCCGTTTTTGACAAAATTGTAAAAATATGTTTCACCGTTGATATAAAGTGGCACTCCCGGTAAGCCGATTCATACGAAAAATTTGCTGTAACATACGAGGTATACACAAACCTTAAATATGAATTTTCACTTTCGTACGACTTTTCGTTTTTGAGCTAGACTGTTCACATACATTCATACACACACACACACACAGACCATTTTGCGGGACTCGGTTATTTGGACACACAGGAGAATTAGATCCTGAGGTGCCCAGTAAGTAGGAGATTGATTTGATTGCTTTATTAACGTCAAATAGAAGTAAGATGTATGCTGACGCAACTCGTTTTAATATGTGAGCTACATCATAAAAAGGCATGAAGTTATCTCATAAATCTGTT